ATATATGCTATGTTTTGGCTTTTTATTCGCTGATATGCAATAACTAAACGTAATATTGATTTATAGACTGCTGCTCTTATTGTTCAGATGCTACAGGCCTATTTACCATACCACTCCGTTACTAATCGTATTTATATTGTATTAGGTTTATGACATAGCGTGCACGGTGAAACCACTAAAGGATATAGTTTAGCGTCCCTGTTATGCTTTATATTCTAACATTCTAAAAGGATTTGTTATCATGTGGCTCCCTCTGGTGGACATTATTAGTATTAAGGGCTTCAAGAAAGTGCTGTAAAGGATATCGGATATGCATTAGTTGGCATTAGATTCTTTTCTTCAACATTAAATGATGTGCCCTTGCAAATTAGTGTCAGTTCATGCTGTATCTCGTTCAGATCATGCATCTAAAGCATTAAAGCACCTGATTAAAGTTTTGAAAGCAAGACATTGCATGTTTCCGTTTGGAGGGTCAGTGCTGCTTTGCAAAAGATCAACGGACTCGCTTTGATGTAAGAGTAGCCTAACTTATTCCATTAGGCCTACTTCTTGTTATACGTCTTAACATCCATAAAGGGTATTGTTTGACCTCTGAGTACTTTGATTGGATGCCCAAGGCATCCTATATGTTGCTGTATGAATATAAATATGACACATCTTCCTTAATAAAGTTGAGAGTGTTATGGCAGCACACTGGCCCTCTGTATCAGCTTGATTCTCCGGGGATCCTGCGCTGCGACTGCTCTACACCACACTTGATGACTGCTAGCATCAAAACTATCTGAACAACTTACTGCAAAGCCTCCAGGCAAAAGAAGACAAGTGTTAGAACAACATATTCATTTACCCAGAACAACAAGGTAAGAACTTTATAACTTTACTCAGCAAGTATAAGATATACAAGAAATGTGTCTTGAAGCAGATGGAAAAAACATGTACAAACAAAAACACTTTAACAGAAAGTTGCACAGCTGGGTTAAAGTGAAGTAACTAAGATATATGAAAGTAAAAACAAACTGCTTTAGTAAGTCAAACGTCAGTAGAAGGTGTGTTGATGTATGTGTTGTTCACCAGGTCATGGAGATTCATCAGTCTGCTGTGATTGTGATGCTGCTCTTGGCTGCTTCTTTCACTGCTTATGGTCAACCAGATGGTATAAAGCACAGCTATCAAAAGTTCCTCAATCAGCATTTGGGTCCTCATGTGAGTGAGCATGCTTGTGACAAAGAAATCAGAAAGAGAGATACACTGCCTCTGGAACGGCAAATGGCTGCAAAAAAAATCAACACTTTCATACAAGCAAATAAGAATGATATTAAAGTAGTTTGTGGAAGAAATGGAGGAACTCCACAGGGCAATAATCTGTTTAAGAGCAACCAGCCTTTTCCTGTGGTCACCTGTAAATTAAAAAGTGGGCAGAGACACCCAAATTGCCAATATAGAGGGAAGAAGTCTACTCGTTACATTGTTTTGGGGTGTGATCAAGAATGGCCTGTACATTATGAGGAAGGCATAATTAATGTATAGATGACAGGCTAAATAGAGCCTCACAAAGCTTTACAATATGTTGCTAATCATTTGCTCACCACTTCTTTTCTGTCTTTTTCTGTCAAAAAATTGCAGTGGCTTTTAAATAGATTTTCACATGTGCTGTAAATTTGGCAACCACTGCTTGATACAGTCAGTCCAAAGTCAACCAATGAGGCACAGCTGTGAACATGAACACAGTGGCAATAGATGCATGTACTTTAAAACATGGCATTGTTTTTTGTGGTTTAAAAAGCTATGTTACAATCTCTAATTATATTTGAGCAATATCAGTTTTTCTCTCTCTCTCTCTCTTTCAAACAGCATACGAGTCCACCTGAAGTTAAAATAAAATGTACCTGTTTGTCATTATGAGACTCTGTAGGAAGATCTCTCTGAGATCTTCACTTCTTCATGCATGTCTCTGTGTGTATTTGTGCCTATCATGTGCATGATTCAGCTAGTCTAGAAAAATTTTAAGCACTCTGTTAACACTTGAGCATTAAAGAAAAAAATTAATGGGAATGTGCAAAAGCCGATGAGGATAAGAAAGATGAAGATGCTTGGTCTGCCTGTCTGTAAACCTCAATTATACTTCTCTATCACCATTAATTTAATCTGCTTGATTGTCTTGCATCTCAATAACACCAATTTGAAGGTAAATATCAACAAACGTAAATTTAGAGAATAGAGAATAGAGGAGAATCTAGGCGGAGATCTAGATCAAAACCATGACTTGAAGCCAAAACCAAAGCCATATGTGGTCTCAAGACCAAGACCACAAGATCAAGACTATTGGCTTATGGCTAACAAATCAGATTAAATATATAGTTCAGTCATGAAATTCTAGATGGCGCATTCTGACGGGTTGTTAACGTAACTGATGATATTCAGAGAGTTAAACGACTTGGCACAAGCTGATTGGTTCATGCTGCATATGCAGCCAATGAGCTTACTGCCTTGCATTTATATGGCTGGCTAGCATTCACTTGAGATTCCTGCAGCGCGCTTTCAGAGTTCTCTGAAACTCAACAGCTAGATAAGTAAATGGTTTTTACTCTGATTTCAGTGCATTATTGTGTTCGTCAAATGTACATTTTAAACTAGAAAACATACAAGTGTAAAACTACATGCAGGTTATTCGCGTGAGGAGTAATTACTAAGCATGTATTGTTCATATAACAGCAGTGGCATTAGCAGCAGTAGCAAGCAGTTTTCCTGGTTCATGTATGTGAGAATACAACGTAAAGCATCGCGAATTTTAGAACGGTAAAGTGAATTGGGGATTACCTTATTTGCACGAAATCTCCAATGCTTTTGATTTCTTCTGTGGGCATTCATTTCTACATTAACTGCGAACGGATCGCTTCAGATGCACATCAATAGTGGGGTAGGTTTGCAGTTGGCGTTTCACAGTTGTTCACAGTTTTAAGTCAAGGTGAACCCGTATAACTGTCTTTCATAAACGTCATACTGTCAACAGCCTTACCTATTTTAATGATAAAATAATATACCCGCTCATACATGTAC